TTTAATTATATTATGAAATTATTAATAAAACTAATTTTTGAAGTTCTTTTTGGAATTTTACATTTTTCATCTAGCTTATCAACTAGCTATTGTCAAACGTAATTTATTCATTAGCTAGCTTATCAGCTAACAACTATCATATCAACCAACAACTAGCTTCACAGGGTTTGCCAAACATTGCCTATAATTAGCTATCGTAGTTTGTATATGTATAATAAAATTGCTTAAGATTCCACGTTTGAACTTAATAAAACTAACTAATAGATACGTTCTAATACATAATGGAAGTTGATGACTCTCTTTCGCTCTCCCTAGACAATTCAAAACCATAATAGCAAAATAGAGAGGGACGAACAATAAAATATTATATGAAACATGATTAATGGTTCAAGTTCATGACTTTAAAATCAACATGGCACGGTGTTGCACTCTACGGTTATACTTCTAGTATATATATATATATATATATATATATATATATATATATATATATATATATATGGTATATTTCAAATGCAACCCACTTCATTCTTGCAACCAATACAACCCTTTTCCAACCAATCAATGAATTTCCTTTTTTTTAATTATTAATTAATTGAAAAGGTTAAATATGTCATTTACTATATCTAGATTATTATAAGTATTTTTTTAAAAAAATAAATGATATTCTATTTATGGTGATAGATTCATAACTTATGGAAATTTAAAAAGTAATTAAAGAAAATGATATTGCACATAATCTTTGAATAATTAGGCTGGAATCGTTGATGTAGGAGGCATTTGCTTCTTCATAACTTAAATTTCATAAGATTGGAATTGGTGAATTTTCTTGTTTCTTCAATAGCTCTATAGAACCCAGTATTAATATTATGGATTATATGCCATTCAACGAGACTTTCAGTAAGGATATCATCCAAGAAAGCACTGTTTTCGATTCTAYGAACGACGGCCAAGGTTTTGATGATGGTGGTGAAAATGCAAACACAGTTAATAATGAAACAATAGAAGATTAATGCCATTATTCAATGAGGAATGAAGATGGCTGTAACAATGGAAACGAAACATTAAGTGAGCACAACGACGGAGTTTTTGTAGATTTCGTCGATGATGACGTTGCATCTTTGAGCAATGAAGTTGAAGGTATTGATTTGCTTTCATTGTTATATGTTAATGAACCTAAAAACTGGTTTCATTAGAAATTATACATATTAGTAGGTACAATGAACAAGCTACAATGCATCTGGTTTTAATTCWATGAAGCAGCTAATATGCATCTGGTTTGAATATAACGAACAAGCTAAGATGCATCTGGTTTGAATATAACGAACAATCTAGATGCATCTGATTTCATAATTGGATATTATAGGTTGGTTTCACTATAGTCTGATAACTGTTGAAGACAGATTTCAACAATGAAACCAGATTCTTCGTGTGAATCAACTAATATTAGAACGAAAGTCAAAGTGGGTTAGGTCGCTCATTAAAGTTCTTGAACAACCCGGTTGGCTCTGTTCAGAAAACAAACCTTTGTGCTGGGCAGGGCTCATGCCTCATAGATTCAACTTTCTGGGCTGGGCTGGGAAATGAAACATTGAACTCCTCGTAAAAAAAGATGATTATGGACAAGATGTAATTACCTGGTGCTGCTTTGTTATACATGATGTGAAGTAACCCACAAAAAAGTGTTTTGTTGTGTTATAAATAGAGTTTTTAGAATGTGCGATTGTGATATAATGATGAGGATGGCATAGATGTTGATTCTCTTCATCACTATGAAGCCTGTTTAAAAAAATACACTCAAACCATAATTCTTATCCCTTTTAAGAGTTTAGGTTCCTTTCTTTGTATTTGTGGATTTATAATCATCATATGTTGTGGCTGGAGTATTTGCAGATAATTGATATCCCTACATCTATATATAGAGGTTCCTTACAAGCAAATGAAATCATGTGCAGATAATAGGCTGGTTTCATGATGCTGTTAATGAACCCAAATGCAAAGTAGCATGTTCTTAATGAACCTCTATTGTAATGCATTATAACAACATGTTTTTATATGGTGATTCAGATTTCATAACTGATTTGATTGCACGGGAACATAAAGTCGTAGTTTTTGAATCAGGTTAAATTAGCTGATGAACCTAATACATACGTTTGTGATTTGAAGCAGTGATTATCGCATTTTAAGTCATATATACGTTTATGAATACTAAAAATTGTGTTCATGATGGTGTTAATGAAACTTAAATTCAATGTAACATGCAACCCAACCTGTATTTTCATTAGATGGAAAGATGAAACGTATACAAATTCGTTACTGTTATGGACCAA